GATATGTTGGTGAACTGGGGGGGGGGAGGGAGGGGGGAGTGTTTACCCAATAACTTTCTTTTCACACGTAAGCAGAAATGTGCCATATGGTTGGGTTTTTTTGGCCTGGTGATCTCCTCTAGAGAAGTGATCTCTTCTGTCAGGTGTCTACCTCAGCAGGTGTTACAGATGGCTTTTGTTAAATGGGAAGCCCCATTGAAAGGATGACACTTTGCTTTCTCCTCTTTCAAACTGACTGTTGAAGAATGGGTTTTCTTTAGGAAATAGAAAAGTTGGGGAGTGCTCTGAGAGCTGATTGTCCCAGGATTGAGACTGAACCAGAGAGAGCTGGTAATGGCACAGAAATCAACGGAGGTGATGCCTCTTTCTGATACTGGAAGGTTATTCACCCCTTCTAATAGTGTGGTCCCACTGGTTAAATATTTGGAAAGTACTGAAGAACTGTGGGTAAAGTATAGTCCTTTTTCTTTTACACCAGTTTCCTTGAGATGGGTATCCTTCTGTTAGCTAATCCTTGGATTAGAGATCACAAGGAAAATAGACCAGCAATGTCAGAACGTCAGAAGAGTCAGTTCCATCAAAAATATATCTGTAGGTTTTGCACTATGTGAGGGGTAGTGCTGAATAGAAAGGTAGTCTTACCTGCTTATCAGTAAATGTTTCAAGTGGAAGGTAGTCTTCTCTAAAGCAGTAGCTGTGGTTGTCAGCAGTCTATGTTGGGTAATTACAGTCCAATAATTAGAGAACAATATGTTCAGTGACATTTTAGCTTTTAAAATACTGCATGCTGCTGTTGTATTTTACTTGGGAGAAGATAAATAGATTTTGTTATTCCTTTAACTTTCTAGAATATCCTATTTAGCTGAAAAAAATAAAAATCTATCATTGCTTTCTTATTTTAAAGTTGCTGTACCAACTGGTATGCCCCTTGAGTGACTGAAGGCGTCTTTTAGCTATTTTTGAGCAAGCTAGAAGCAAAATACTTGCATAATAAACTGCACTGCTGTCTTGGCAAATAACATGGAGCTTGGTTCATCTTAATCACCTTTAGCTATTAATAAACTAATTTTATTGAAAATGCTGGGAACTCTTTACTGTAAAATAGGTAAATTCTTAACATAATTACTGCACAGTCTAACCTTCTGGTTTTGTTCAGGACAGCCTGGCGTTATCATTATGGATCGCTCTCGGCACCGTGCAGGAAATGGCAATGAGCAGGCATCCTCACGAGAGCGCAGTCACGGTGAAGATGAAAGACAATGGCAGCTGGAGCGCCTCAGTAGGGAGGAGGCCTATTACCAGTTCATTAATGAACTCAATGAAGAAGACTACAGGTTAATGAGAGACCGCAACCTGCTTGGCACTCCTGGTAAGATATCAATACCTTCAGTAGAAAAGACAGAATGTGAAGTAACACTATTGCTGCCAGGCACCACATGTAGTTGTATGACTCAAGTAGCCTGACATCTGTGGCTTTGTAGAAAGGAAAAAACCCTACATTTCCCTTCAAAATTAATGATATTCAGTAAAAAATTAACAACTTAAATAGATACTAAAGCTGGACTAAAAATAGAATACCTTCAAATGCAATGTCTTTGTATACAGGTAATATCCAAACCCAAATAATTAACATCTGGTACACTAAAGTGTATCTGCTGGTATTTGGAAATTTTTGAGTTGTTGCTGGAAGTTGCTCTGAATTTTTGCTGGAAGTTAGCATGCTCTTGACACACATTCAGCATCTTTTTTACCCCACCTCGTACCTACTTCCTCTGTTACCAGTGTACCTGCGTTACAGTCTCACACTAGTGCTGCTTTCTTTTCAGTCTCATTAGTTTTACCTTATTTCTGAAGATTTTTCTTCAAGATAGAAAATAACATTATTTCTGCATGGCTGTGTTGAGCCAATAATAATGTCTTATCTAACAGCATTGTCAAAACGTAAATTATTTCAGGGGAAATAACAGCTGAAGAGTTGCAGCAACGCTTGGAGGGGGCCAAGGAGCGTCTGGCATCACAGACTAATCTGGATAACAGAGAAGGTGAAAGTAGAACTGCTGGAGGTAAACTTTCTTCATTCATATAAATATACACACATAGTATGTGATGCATAATTATGTTCTGTACAGATATTTAAGAGACATGCTGATGGATTTCAGTACCAGTCATTTCAAGTCTTGTTTTTCCTTTGTGCCTCTGCGGTATGTTTTCAAAGTAAGAGAGATTTCCTAATGATAGAAAAACAAACTTGAAATACTTCATGAAAACTGATTTTGTCAGCCACAAATTACTTCCTCCTCTTTTCCTGGTTTCCCTTTGCTAGTAAACTTCATAGCACAAAAATAATTATCATTCTTCTGATTCTTAAAAGGTTTTATCATGTGTAAGAGAAGTTGGTACAGAAAAGAAGTTAATTAGGAAATGGTTAACCTCTCTACTGTTTGTTGTTTTTTGTTGTTTCATTTCCATTTGTTTTAATGGAAAATGAGGTCTGTATTACGTGCTCTGTCTGTGTTCTCTTCACCAGCAATATTGGCTTAATCATTTGGCCAATTCTAATCAGATTTAGGAGGGGAACAGGCAACTTGGAAACGAAGATAACAAAGTTCTTGCAGGTTTCATGAAGGTAGGGAGATGATGGAGTAGGGAGAGCTTAATCTGATCCCTTCAAGGGAAAACCTTTGCTGTGATCATGACCGTTGGCTTGCTCTATACACAGTTAGCACTAACCACAACAATTGTATCTGTTCTTGAGCTAGTAGTTAGAGGAGATTTTGGGTGTGAGTGCTGATCTGCTGGAGGGTAGGAGGGCTCTGCAGAGGGATCTGGACAGGCTGGATCGATGGGCAGAGGTCAACTGTATGAGGTTTAATAAGGCCAAGTATAGGGTCCTGCACTTTGCCCACAACAACCCCATGCAACGCTGCAGGCTTGGGGAGGAGTGGCTGGAGACCTGCCCATTAGGAAAGGCCCTGGAGGTGCTGGTTGACAGCC